AAAATCAGCCGGGTGTGGTAGCGCGTGCCTGTAATTCCGGCTACTCGGAAGGCTGAGGCGGAAGAATCGCCGGGTCCCAGCAGGTCGAGGCTGCGGTGGCCGGGAGCAGCCACTGCACTCAAGTCTGGGCTACAGAGTGAGACTCCAACTCAAAAAAAAAAAAAAAGAAAAAGAAAATAAGCCAGGCACAGTGGCTCATGCCTGTAATCCCAGTACTTTGGGAGGTTGAAGTGGGAAATTGCTTGAGCCCAAGAGTTCAAGACCAGCCTGGGCAACATAGTGAGACCTTGTCTCTAAAAAAAAAAATCAAAAGTCTGGGCATGGTGGCTCACTTCTATAATCCCAGCACTTTGGGAGGCCGAGGTGAGAGGATTGCCTGAGCCCACAGGTTCAAGACCAGCCTGGGCAAGTTGGTGAGACCTCATCTCTACAATAAATAAAAAAAAATTAGCCAGACGTGGTAGCATGTGCCTATAGTTTCAGCTACTTGGAAGGCTGAGGCAGAAGGATCACCTGAGCCCAGCAGGTCGAGGCTGTGGTGACCATGAGCATGCCACTGCACTCCAGCCTGGGCAACAAAGTAAGACTTCAATTTATTTATTTATTTATTTATTTATTTATTTATTTTTGAGTTGGAGTCTCACTCTCTCCCAGACTGGAGTGATACATTTTACAACAAGGATGAACCTTGAGGAATTATGCTAAGTGAAATAAGCCAGTCAAAAAAGGAAAAATTCTGTATGATTTCACATATATGAGATACTTAGTCAATTCATAGAAAGTAGCACAGTGATTATCAGGAGCTGTGGAGAGGAGGGAATGGGGAGTTACTATTTCATTGGTATAGACTTTCAGATCAGAAAGTTGAAAAAGTTTTGGAGCTGGATGGTGGTGATAGTTGCACAATAATGTGAATGTACTTATTGCCACTGAACTAGACACTTGAAATGGTTAAAATAGTAAATTGTATGTTACATATATTTTACCACAATAAAAATAAATAAAACAAAAACTGATGATGAGGAAACCAGCAAACAGAAACTCATTGCTAGTCACTTTTATTCGGTGCTCTTATTACTTTTTCTCGTGAACGCCAGTTTATTGTGCTTTTGTGCATTCAATTGCATCTCTGGTTTACCTAACCCTTGAGGTCCACAGTCCCTCAGCTGTGAAATTCTTTTACCATGGGGGATTTTAGAAACATAATCCTCACAGTTGGAGAGGAAATATTTTCTGGGGAAAAAATAGGGAGCCTTGTATGAAGTAACAGGAAAAATTATTTGTTAGATGTGGGAAGGGGAAAAGAAGAACAAGAGACCAACGGCACGCTCTTCCCCCTTCCTTGGACTCTATCTGAAGTTCACAGTGGTCCCCACAGTTCCCCAGGGTTCTGGCTGGCTACATCCCTGGGCTGAATGCAAAAGAAAGGGAAGTTCTCCTCATTCCTCGACAACAGCCTACACTAAGCATTAAGTCCATCAATGATGAGGAAAGATCCTGCCCAGCAACCCACCCACAACTTCAGCATGTATTTATTTATTTGTTTGTTTTTAGTTGAGAATCTCACTCTGTCACCCAGACTGGAGAGCAGTGGCACAATCACGGCTCACTGCAGCTACCAACTCCTGGACTCCAGCAATCCTCCTGCCTCAGCCTCCAGAGTAGCTGGGACTAAAGTCATGCACCACCACAACCATCTAATTGTTTTAATATTTGTAGAGATGAGATCTCATTATATTGCCCAGGCTGGTCTCAAATTCCTGGGCTCAGGTGATCCTCCTGCCTTGGCCTCTCAAAGTGCTGGGATTACAGGTATAAGACACCACTCCCTGCCAGCATGGGCCTATTCTTCTCCAGTGGCATCTCAGGTGTATTCAGGTGACTCCTGGATCAGGCATGGAGAGAAATGTTGGTGACAGCTCCTGTTACCTCAGAATGTCTCTGCCTCTTTAAGCCTCCCACTCCCCTTCTCCTCTTTACCCCCGTTCCCCCTGACTTCTCCATCTCTCCCCTCAGACCCTTCCCTCCCATGGGGTTTACATTACACTCACTCACTTTCATGTCTCCACTCACTTTGCTTCCACTTCATTGCTTCAGTGTGAGGTTGAGAGCTGAAGAATGAATGCTCCGTTTCCCAGGAGCTGCTGGGGTCTTCATGGGTGTATGCCCATTCACCGACCCACCCGCAAGAACTGTTGACCTGGTCACATTCATTTCTGGAGAGAGGCCATCTCACCTATTTTGCCTCCCAGATTCCTCCTTGGAGTGCTGGGGGGTGGGGGGAATAGACACCCAGGGAAGCCTTCCAGTAGATCAACCAGATGCAGGAAAACCTCCTTTTATCACACTCAGAGGTAAGGGTTGAGTCTTGTTGGATTTGCCTCAAGATTCCCCTACGCATCCTTTTTCTTTTATTGGATGTGTGTCTAAAGTAGATTTTGAACTTACCTGTGGCAGCTGGAAACCCTACTATTAGTGAGTAAGGAAAACTACCAGCTTTTTTACTTCTCCGGTGCTGGGTGGGGTGGAACCCATGCCAGGGAATACTACTACTAATGATAACGACACATAGAGCCCCCAGGACCCAGACGCGCTGCCCATGAGTTTTCTAAACAGGATACCTGCAGCAATTCTATGTGAAAAATAGCCAACAAGAAGAGGAGCGGGCTGTCCTGATGCACCTACTTTAAGGATGCTCCTGGACAAGTTGGGAGCTTGCAGTAGGCTCCCACTCTGATTTGCTGAATGCTACACTGAGGACTCCCGGCTCCTGGTGCCCTCTCAGTGAAGAAGCCCAGAAGCAGCAGCCGCGGCTGCCTCCCAGTGGCCCTGGCTGTAATCTTCTGCTCACCGTGCCCACACCAGATCTCAGCTGCTGCAAAGAGAGGCAAGCTCAGGCTGCCCCAAGAGCTGGCTCTGCAGCTGGTGACTCAGCGGGGGAGGTGGGGGTGGGACTTGGGCCTGAAGGGCCAGCACTTGTGACAACAGAGTCCAGGGGCTTTTGTGTAGGAGAAGACAGGAAGCTGAGTCCCGAGAACAAGCCCAGCAGCACAACTGCAATCTAATGACTTCACAGTAATTCCATTTATGTCCCTGAATCCTCCCTGTGGATTTAGAAAAACAGATCCCCTGCTTCACGCTTCCTAAAAGTGCAGCCTGAACCAAGGGCTGAATTCCACAGCGAAGTGACCCCTCTTTTCCTTTTCTGTCACCTGCCCCCGCCTCTACCTTCCACTCCCAGCCCCAGCAATTACACAGGAACATCCAAAGTGACGTGGGCGGAGATTTTCTTTTATTCGTTTTTATCGTTGAGGGGGAAGGGCTGGAGCAAAAAGATGATGCCAACATGTCAGACACGAGAATGACCCCTGCACATGCAGAACACGTGGATGCTCACTCTGGGTTTGCGACTGACCAGCGAATGTGCTCCTTGGAGAGAATGTCCCCACAGTTGCAAAAGCCCTTCTTCCCATTTTTATGAGTTTTAACACCCCTATCCACACCCACCCCAGGTCACCTTGTCATTCTCAGTAAGCGGATCTCCTGGCAAACTGGGCTCTTATTCCTGTGGGCTCAGCCCCCCTCCCCCCAAATAAACATGCATCTCCTTGACATAAAGAAAAAATGACACAGGATGCTGGAATACAGAGAGGCGGAATGCTTCCTCTTGGCACCAGCTTGGGATAAAGGCCGCCTTCCATCCCACCAATGAGAGACAGGAAGGAGCGATCTGACCACCCCACCTTTCCCATCTTCCAGGGCCATGTGCGATATGGCCCCGGCTGTTCACATCCTGTTCTTCCCTGATTTTAAACAAGCCCAGCCAGGAGCCTTCCACCCCTTCCCTTGGTAAAAAGACATTCAAACCAAAATTTTCTTCTTGCCCAGTTTCTTTTTCACCTGGAGGTCTCACCTTGCTCCCCCAAAGGGCTTTCTGATGTCTGAATCCCCCAAACCTGGCAATCTGTGAGCTCCATGAAATGTATTCATTTTGTTGCAACCATCCTCACCACCCAGCCTCCCTGCATTCTCCCAGAGAGGTCTTGGGTTTTTCTCAGCATCATTTCCCGTGGTTTGCTGTGTCGTCCTGACTTGGAGGTGTCCAGCGTGGCAGGGGAAGTGTCAGGTGCCCTTGCTTTCTGTCCTCTCCTCATCAGCCGTCTGAGTGTTGCTGACGGTGCGAAGTTGCCCCTGGGCTGCGGGCTTCACCGAAAGGACCAAGCGTTTGCGGAATGTCTCACAGAGCACGATGTATACAAAGGGGTTGAGGCAACTATTGGCATAGCCCAAGCTGATGGCCGCGTTGTACAGGTAGACAAAGGTGAGGGTCGGGCGGCTGATGGACAACTGGGTCAGCTGTAGCACATAGTAGGGAGCCCAGCACACAAAGAAGACCAGGCAGATGGCGATGGCTGTGCGGGTCACCCTCTTGGTCCGTAGCCGGATGCTGCGCTGGGAGGCGGGGGCCACTGAGGACGTCATGCGCTGCAGAATCCTCACATACGCAGCCGTGATGACCACAAAGGGCAGGGCGAAGGCCAGGAAAAACTGGTACAGGGTGAACCAGTAGAGGTCAGTGTCTGGGTTGGGCAGGCGGATGCCGCAGCCCACCGCACCCCCCGGGAAGGGGATGAGCCTGGCATAGAGCCACACGGGGGTGATGCTGATAAAGGAGAGGGCCCACAGGAGGCAGATCACCAGGGTGGCCACAGAAGGCTTCCGGAACTTGGTGGAAGAGATGGGGTGGACGGTGGCCAGGTAGCGGTCAATGGCCATGGCAGTCAGGATGTAAGTGCTGGTGAACTGACTGTTGGCGTCCATGGCTGTGATGAGGGTGCACATGGTCTCCCCAAAGTGCCAGACGCCATTACCCATGAGCTGGTGGATCATGAAGGGCATGCCCAGGAGAAAGAGGAGATCGACCACTGAGAGGTTGATGATGAAGATATCCGGGACGTTGCTGCACCAATGCAGCTTGGACTTCTTCACCACCGCGAAGATGACCGTGGAGTTCCCAACGATGCCCAGGAGGCAGATGGTGCCAAAAACCGAAGGCATGATAATGTTGATGTAGGAGACACTCCCTGTGCGAGGTGGCGATCCTGGGGACAGAAGGAGCAAGTGCTGACCATTCGACCTCAGCTCTGCTCGAAGGATTGACACCCTGCTGTCACACTCAGCCCTCCAGCCCCGCTCTTGCTTCCCTCTCATCCTGTCTACTGTTTCAGCTCAAACCCCACCATTCATCTGCAATCCTCTCCCACCATTCTCCCTCCCCACACTGTTGCTAATCCTGTCCCTTTGCCCTCCTCCATGGGTTTCCTGGTGAATCCTACCAGATTCTCCCGAGCCAACTGACGTTGAAGGACTCAATCCTTTGCCTCCTGCAGGTACCAGAGTCAGGAACCACTACTCTGTGTGCCCCTGGGCTTCACAGGGAAACCTTGTCAAAACAGTCAGCAGGACATGAAAGTGTGTGTGTGTGTGTTTGTGTGTGTGTGTGTTTTCGTTTCCTATCTGCAGCCCTGATTGTTTCACTTTAGAGATCACTGGTTGGAAACTGTGTGCTGATTCCTGGGCATTTCTGTGGTTGCCTGTCTTGCGAAGGCTTTTGCTGACTGTGCCCCGGTCAGGGCAGCAGCCCTCTCCACTCCAGGCTTCCTATCCGGTTTTCCTTGGTCGGTCTCTTCTGGGCCTGGGCTTCCCAAGTGGAGCAGAGACAGAAGCTGAGTGTTGCAACTCAGCAGCCTGTAACATTTCTCCATATAAACCTCTCTTCCTTCTTTCCCTTCTCCTTCAAAGCTAGAATTCCAGGGCATCACAGCTTGGGAAATGTCAGGAAGCTTAATTCACTAGAAAAGTTAATCCCCTCAGGCTCGGTGAAGTCTTCCCTTCCCACAGCCTCTCCCAGGGGGCAGTAAGGATATCTCAGACCCTATCACCCAAGTACGAGTAAAAAACCAAGGCTCACAGTGAAGGAGTGAGCCCCCAGCTGCCTCACATTCTACCCTCCAGCTTCCCTGCTTGCTTTTCCAGCCTGGAATTTTTTCCACCAGGCATATTTGGAACTCATCAGCCGCCTTCCCCTGCCTCCCTTGCAACTGGCCACTATTCCTTGCCACTTCTGAATGTGTCTTTGCCCCTTCTCTGCTCCTGCCCTGTCTGCCCATGCCCACCCATGCCTCCTTCTCCCCTACCCCTCCTGGCAAAGCAGACTGCAGATCTTGTCCCCAAGAACTGTAATAAAGTTTCCTAAGCAGTTTGGCTCAGGGGGGAAACCGTCCCATTTCCCACCCCCACCCCAGGGGAGAGAGGACTCCCCTTCAACTCGACTCACCAGCCGAGGTGAGGTTATCCCGGCCATCAGAGGTGTTGCTGGTATTGGGACCAGTGGGCAGCAGTGAGGCTTCCAGGTCCATCCAGGCGGTGCCGGTCGCCTGCTGGTTGCCAGTAGCCTGCTGGTTGCCTGTTCCCCCGAGTTGAGCTCCCGGCCACCCACACAGGCTGCGGCAGCTTCCAGCGCCCCCACCACGTTGTCCCGGAGCACAAGCCCTGCAATCCAGAAGGGGGTCTTCCTCGGCAGCCTGGCAGCCTCTGCAGCCTCCAAGCCCAACTGCCCTCCCTTCTCCCTCCTTCCCTGGCTCCCACTGACATCACCTAGACATATTAACATTCGGAGGCAGATGCACATTAACCTCTTCAGTCCTGGGCTGCGGCTGGCTCCCACTTCTGACTGCCTGCAGAGCCCAGGGCCCTGGGGATGCCGGGAGGGGCTGGGCTCAGGCAGCCCCACAGAGCAGGGAGCTTTCTTCTCACAGGTTTTCGGGGCTGTCTCGTGTGCTCACAGGGGCTGCTGCTTGCCTTGCATAAGGATCGAGGTCTCTGCAAAGCTAAAAGGGTAAAGCAAATAGACTACCTCCTTTTGGAGGAGAGAACAAGCCTGGCCTAGCCCCAACCCCAGGTATGAGTGGTTGGGCTGGGGG